TTTACATTACTGATGACTAAGTAGTATTGTATTTCAACGGAAACATATTTTTACTGTTACATGAGGCAAATGAAGTTCAATCATGAGGGTAAACATCATATTGCGCTACTACGCAGTATATTATGAAGAGCTTACACACTACTGTAGCTATATCCTGCCTTATGAACAAATGGTGCAACTGAATAAAGTACAGAGTTAACCTGCTAGCAGTTACTAAGCCTTTGGTGTGGACTTTACATTACATCTTAAGTAACGAACGGCTTGTCATTCTTGAGAAGTGGGACAAAACAGGGTGCAAAATTGAAAAAATAAGACCTTGTACTCAGACAAATGAAACTGCATTTATGTATCTTATATGTACTAAGCTACTGAGCTATGCTTTGATACAACCTCCCAACTTTTCTCTTTTTTAACAAAATGTGCTTTTTTTTACCTTGGACTGTGTGGTATAATTTCAGCTTTATCTTTAACAGCATTCAAGATGTTTTTAACATTTCAACACACATTCTCGTGTTAGCAGACAGATTACACTTTCACATGTGATTCCACAACAAATATAAAATATCATAATGAAACATTATCAAAATATTCAACTGACGGAGGTGACAGAACTGACGGAGTTGAAAAATTAAAAATATTTGTATTTTTTAAAGCTAATAGCAGTTACCCTTGCTGGACCTGTTTTGTCCCACGTCTCAAGAATGACTGAAATGCGTAATTTCATAAGTAATGAAAGAAAACAAAGATTTTCGAACCAATTGCTTTGCAAAATGATTCCATTTCGAAACCCTCGAAACATCGCGAAACCTGCTGATCAAAATTGTGTAAAAGCAACGTCAACAGCGCAAATGTGCATAAGAAATGTTTTATGAAAATGTAATCTACTAAATGTAATTTACAAACCATTAAATACATTTTTTTTGTTATTTTATACATTTGTAGTGCTTGTTTAATGTCAAAGTCTATAGTCTTAAAGAAGTCTTCATAAAAAGTTTAAAATCCCTGCTGAAAAAACATTTAAAACTAGCATAAGCTGGTTGGCTGGTCTTAGCTGGTTTAAGCTGGAAGTAACTGGTTTTAGCTGGTCTCCCAGCCTGGCCAAGCTGGTTTTAGCTGGTTGGCCAGCTGGTCTTCCAGCCAAACCAGCTAAAGAAGTGGCCAAAACCCCTCTAACCAGCCTGCTGACCAGCTATGACCAGGCTGGAGACCAGCTAAAACCAGCCAACCATTTATTCAAAATAGAAATCTTTTGTAAAAATATACACTACCGTTCAAAAGTTTGGGGTCAGTCATTTTTTTCTTTCTTTCTTTTCTTTTCTGTTTTTCTTTTTTTTTTTTTGTTTAAAAAAGAAATGAATGCTTTTATTCTGCAAGGATGTGTTAAATTGATAAAAAAAAAAGTGATAATAAAGACTTATATTGGCAGAAAAGATTTGTATTTTAAATAAATGCTGTTATTTTAAACTTTATTCATCAAATAATCCTGAAAAAAGTATCACAGGTTCAAAAACAATATTAAGCAACCCAACTGTTTCCAACATTGATAATAAATCAGTATATTAGAGTAATTTCTGAAGGATCATGTGACACTGAAGACTGGAGTAGGGCTAATGATGCAGAAAAATCAGCATTGCATCACAGAAATAAATTATATTTTAGGCTATAGTATATTAAAATAGAAAAGTATTACTTTAGAAATATTACTGTTTTTCCTGCATTTTTGGTCAAATAAATGCAGCCATGATGAACAGAAGAGACTTCTTTAAAACACATTAAAAGTCTTAGGCCTACTAACTGTGCTCCACCAAAGACCATTTGGTTTGGCGAGACGAACGTCAACCGATTGCACCCAGAAAATTACTGCCCTCAGTGCCCTGAAAATAATAATATCATTTTAAAGGGGTCCTATTACCATAGCCGCCTGCGAGCTTCAGTGTAAATATTGCGTCAAAATCAAATCAATTTGTGCGCGATTTAAACCCGGATGATTGTAACCACTCTAAGTTCGTCTGCCTTGGGAAAGCTAGCGTGTGTCCGACATAGTGATAACATTCGTTGCCTTCTCTAGTGCAGCTCAACCAGGTCTCATCCCATTCGTCGATATTTGTGACATCACAAATCCCAGAAAATATGCGTTGTAGTCCAAACGAGTCGTTCGTTGTAGTTTTTGAAAAGTGATTTCTGTTGAATAAAATATCTCCTTTTGAAGTGGACTTTGAACTTTATAACGTTGCAGATCTTTTTTATGCTCAAACAGCAACATTACAGACTAACTAAAGTTGAAAAAGTTAAAAAGCATAATAGGACCCCTTTAAACAAGTTCATATGCAGTTATATTTCTCTCCTTTGGGTGTCACTATTGTTTTGATCTTCCCCAGGTAATTATGCTGAGGTGCGCTAATGAATCTTCTCAGTTTTCAGGTAGTATCGAGGTCACAGAAATGTAGACGGGCATTAGACTACTAGGGAGGGAGCAACGAACGGTCTCACAGCACTCACTTAAATTCGGTCCTTTACATTTCTGCCTTGGACATCTCCACCGCAAATGTGATGCAGTCGCTCGCACAAGAAATAAAATCCTTCTCCAAAGCTAATTTGCGGAAACAATGCACCAGAGTAACGACTTTGAGCGGCAGGCGGATTATTGAAACATGGAAAGGTTCCACTGTACAGGTGGTTGAGGAAACAGTACAGCCTGAATCTGCATGTGGATATATTCAGGATAATAACTGGGACCTTCAGGTTGGATATATTAAACCATATCTATTACTTGGTGAGTAGTTGATCTTCTCATTTGACACTAGAAAAGTACAAAAGTATATGTAATAAACTCTCAGAATGGGCTGTTTGCTAATTTGGAATCGACATTGAATCTTTATCAAATGTTTAAAAATATGTATATAATTGTAGAATTATATTTTACAGATAATTTTATTGATCATTTTTGTTGTATATTGAATATGTAATGTATGCATTAAATAGAATGTATGTATATCTAATTGTATCTAAAGTAAAATTCTAAATAAAAATAAAATACAAATGGTATAAACACTATTATAAATTATTCTATATAAATTTTTATATATTGTAATACATTTGTATTTTTAAAAACCTCTGTAATTTAATTTATTATTATGATTATTATGATTGCTATTATTATTATTATTATTATTATTATTGCTGTTATTTTTTAGTTGTGTGGTATATGTTATATGTGTCTGATATTGATTGCTGGCTGTGGTATTAGAGTCTTAAGACAAATTTCCAAAAAATAGGACAATATTATTCTATTCTGTTCTATTCTATTCTATTCTATTCTATTCTATTCTATTCTATTGTAATAAGAATTCATTTTAATTATGTTTATTTCAAAGGGTCACAAGATGCCGCTCATGACTTTGGTACTTTGAGGAAATATAAGGTGAGTTTATTATTATAGTATTTTATCATAAAATAACTTTGTTTTAAGAATAATAATGTGTTTCCATTGATTTCAGGTCACACATATATTAAATGTTGCATATGGTGTGGAAAATGCCTTTCCTGACCTGTTCATCTATAAAACACTGAGCATACTGGATCTACCTGACACTGATATCATATCATATATCGAAGAGTGTGCACAATTTATCGACCAGGCTAAAGCTGAGGTAACATTTGCCTTTTGTTTCATGGCGTATTCATGATTACATTTGGTTAATATCATGTGATTTCCAAGAATGTTTTTGCACAAATCTTGCATTTTTGCATAATGTAATACCAGTGTACGGAGGTCTGGCCGCATTATAAGAGGAATATTTCAGTCTCTCTGTCTAATTTCCTGAGTGTTGGGCATTAGCGCCTGGCCTATGTGATACCGCACGGTCATCCAATGGCTAATTCCGTTATTCTAGGTAACCGTGTGGCGTGCTGAATAATGGATGCTGAGTTTTCCCAATGCATTATTTAGCGAGTTGTAGAAAGATCATATCACTAACGGGCCATTGTTTGTCATACAACCTCTTTACTAAATAGTGTCGCCAGTCACCCTTAACCTGACACTGCCTCATGATTCAAATTCATTAAGGTTTATGATTACAATGGCTGCTGGAAATAAGTTTCCATTCCTTTGTAAAACGAACATAGCGCCTCCTGTCACCTAATTTACTGTTGTCTATGATGCAAAGGGAAACAACAGCTCAGTTAATGAAATAATGTTCTTCTCAACTAGTCAGAAAGTGGTTCTCTCACCCGTAACTTGCAATTTTGTAATTCCTTGCAATTAGCATAGGATTAATTACATGCTTTATAATGGAGTATGTAATGATGTCAAATTAAATGCCTCCATAGAGGGATTCCAGTAGCTTCTGGAAACAATTTATTTTCTTGCTGTCTGACTGAACAATTGGTTTCTCTCTGCAGAAAGGAGTTGTACTTGTCCACTGCAATTCTGGAGTTTCACGTTCTGTTTCGGTCGTCATTGGATATCTGATGTTGAAGGAAAATCAGCCATTTGGTGACATGTTTGCGCTGGTGAAATCAGCTCGTCCGGCCTCATGTCCAAATCCAGGTTTCATGGAACAGCTGAAAAACTTCAGACAACAAGATGCTACACAAGCAAACGGTTTGGGTCATGATTGAACATTATTCTACAGTTGCATCCGTTCAATTTCAAAGGGATAGTTCACCCCAAAATTAAAACTCTGTCATCATTTCCCCGCCTAATACCTTTTTAAAGCTTTGTTTTTTTCCACTGAACACAAATGGTGAAATGTCCAAGCTGCTCTTTTCCTTACAGTAAAAATGAATGGGGACCATGGTTGTCAAATTAGATTTTTGAGTAATTTTTGAGGTGGTCTATTCCTCACACTAAGCTTAGAATTCACACAAAAACAATATTGGTTTGGAATGAGATGAAGGTGAGTAAATAAAGACAGAATTTACATTTTTTTGATGAACTGCCCTTTTAAAGCCACAAGTGCTTCCATCGTAGTTTCATATATGGCTTTGATTTGACACTTTCGAATTGTCTTATAGGTGCTAATATGACAAAAAGAAACATGGCTGCCTTTCAGTTGGAATTTGCATTGAACTGGCTTCACAGGATGTTGAACCGGAATTTGAATCGAAATGACAGGAAGAGGAATTTACTGAATTGCAGTACAAAGAAATTCACCATCACAGAAGAGATGAAGTACATTAGTTCCCATTCTCAGCGTATTCAATTAAATGAGTAATTTATTTGTTCAATTCAATTACTATTCTCATCCTGTCTGCTACTTCAATTTAATTTTAGGAATTTACATTCAAAAGTCATTCACATCCAAACACTCATTTTAGACACTCATTTCATAATAAATTCAATCTTAAAATAAATCTTAAAATGTATCATGCAGTTATTTTCCCATTCTGTTATGACCAGCAGGCATTTAGAATCAACTTTCCGGATAGTGACATCTTGTGGTCAACACTCAAATTTAGCCTTTTCATTTTTCTGAAAAAATTATTTGATCCAAATTCATTTATTATCATTATTATTATTTTTTAAATAAAGACTGGTTTCTTATACTCAGTAACTTTGATAGCAGCTAATGTTGTCCTCACTTAACATCCTTGACCAGCATCTGGGATGTTAATCTATAATTGTGCAATATAGTAACTTAAATATAAACCAAAAGAGAAGAAATAGATGAATAAGTATTTCTGTGACATCAAATCTTAAATCATGTTCTTATGTAATTTTGTAATTTTAATGACATATTTTGATGTTTTTGTGCATAGATTGCATAGTAATATAGTGATTTTTTTAGATTCTTGTATAATCCTGTTTTTCACTGTTGTGGTTTGTTTTTCGGAAGGTAGAAAATTGTCATTAAATGCTTGTGAGGATGTTTGACATGAAATTTCATTTGATTTTTTTAGAACTTCTGGGATTAGCTTTGTGGTGTAGACCAAGCCTTGACTTTAAAGTATGGATGTGTGAAATGGATTGTATTGAATAAAATATGTACATATATGCAAAAAAAAAAAGCTACTTTACCTGTCTGTGCTTTTGTGTAAACTAGGTGTTTGACAATGCATTTAACTAGATCAAATTAAATTTGTTCAGTCTATAAACATACACTGGCCCCATAAATAACATTATCCCACCGTATTTTCCATACCATATAGAGATACATTTTCTAACAGTTCTCCTCTGGCCAGAAGAAACTAGCATGGCAGGGTTTAATTCCAGGCTGCAACACAGGTCAGATACAGAGACAAACCACTTTCGTGACGCTCTACATAAATCTGCTCAATAAATATATATTGTTTGGGACTGTGTTTTTATAAAACGGCGCCACTGGTCAGAATAGGCAGTGTTATAGCGCCCCCTGTGTATATAATATAAATGACACCCTCGAGGTCGATTCGCGCACGTCCGCCAATGGCGCTTTTAACTGGACTGCCTACATTAGGATGTTATGGTTGAACTAAGACGACTTATCTCGAAAACACAGGGAAACTCTTTGGGCAATTGTCGTCACTTCAACTCTATCTCCCATGTTGTTGATAAACTCGGGGATTTGCTTTTCCACATGGGCACGTTCTCATCCAAGCTCTCCAGGAGAAACATTGTGACCGTGAAGCCCAAAGAGTCCGAAGACGGCAGAACGAACCGGGACCTGACCGAGAGCCAGACTCGGGTCATTAAAAATGCAGTTCAGAGGGTCAGCCGGGAAGTTCAGAGGGCGTCTGTCATCACCGAGGGAGGCAAGTGATGAGAGTTTCACAGCTGTTTTCAACACTGTCCGTGCTGAGGAAAAGTTTGGCATGGTCACTGATGGGTTTATTAACTTTCAAGGTAAAAGGTAAAATGATGTCAGACATTTGGTTACCCCTTACGAAAAATAAGTTTATTCAAGTGTGCTCTTAGTATACTTCTTTTAAACTAAAAACAGGAAAGTATACTTTCAGTCTACTTTTTATGTACTTTTCTGACATGGGCTTTATGTACTTCTCAGAAATATACTTAAAATTACATTTAAGTATACTTGACTTATGCTTAGAAAAGTCTAAATATATTTGAGCTATACTTGTGCTTCGAGAATCCGTGTTTTCATTGTTATACAGTAGGGGGCGCTATTACACATCTTCTGTACAGAATTTCCAAAACACAAGCGAAGAAGAAACCGAAACAACAGATGCTTCCACACGTAATCTAACACATTTAGTTCTTTTATGTCATCAGACATAAAACAGCATCAAAACTGTGTAACGTTATGGAATAAAATGTCGACCCATGAAGAGGTAATAATAACTGTCAAGCTTTGGGGTGTTGATCGACT